TACTAGATATAAAAACAAACTGGAATAGACACCCAGACAGTGACATCGGTGAACATAACCTCCTTGGTGGCGGTAGAAATCGTTGCTATTATCCAAATAATACACAAAACAATTAAAGCATAATCATGAATCAGTAAAGAATAACACAACAATACAGAGCAGAATCGCTTGGCCGGACGCACACTTAGTGAAAAAGTTTTCTACCATTAGTGGAAAAGGAAGGGCGCCTTTTGCGTCTGGATATACTTAGCAACAGAAGGGCGCCCTGGGGCGCCCTGTACGTTGGGCACGAAGTATAGGAAACTTGCATGGTTAAAAAGAAGGGCGCCGCCTACGTTGGGCACGACTTCCGCCTCATTTTTACAATACGAGAACTCTATCTTGTATTTCTAGTATCTTTGATAACCTATCACTAATGAAATTGCTATTGCAATTCTAATAGTTTAGTTCTAATAAAAGAAATGTGTAAATTATTGTTATCATTTTAACGCACTGTATTTTTTCCCCATATTTTTCAATGTAAGCTTGTATTTAGGTTTGTTGTCTTTTCTTTTTTGTTTTTTTTTTGTGGGGTGGGGTAAATTATTGTTATCATTTTAACGCACTGTATTTTTTCCCTATATTTTTCAATGTAAGCTTGTATTTAGGTTTGTTGTCTTTTGTTGTTTTTTTTTTTTTTGTGGTTTTTTTTTTTTTTTTTTTTTTTTTTTTGTGGGGTGGGGATGTCCCTTCTAGAGAAATTTTACACTCTAAAAAGGATCCAAGACAATAATTATTTGATCTATTTGTCTTTCTCATCACTGTCATTAATAATATATTTTTTCTGTTATCGTTCATTATTATCAGAATAAATACACCCGATTTTATCTGAATCTAATGCTCATTATCTGCTTCTCAGTCATTTTATTCTATTATATGGAAAATTATTAAACAATGTAGGCTATATTCGAATACCACTAAAACGGTGTAACTTACGATGGAATTTGTAAGTTAAAGATACACTACACATAAACACATCAAACCCTGTTCTTAAATATTTTATATTGACTTTCTCATATTTTATACCACTCTTTACATAAACTTATAAGGTATGTAACAATTAATCAGTAATTTGATCGATGCTTACACTGTTGAGTTTGGTGCCAGATGGGACAACGCTCCGTGCTCCACATCTTCAATGGGATTAGTAAATATATAACTGCAAGGTAAAT